GGGCGGGGGGAGGCCCCCCCCCCCCCCCGCCGAGTGCACAGATTTTTGTGCACTGGGCCTCTAGTAAATACCTAAAGATAAATAGGGAATGTATAGCATATATTCCATCTAAAAGGAGGCAGGCACAAATAATTTCCAATTGATAATGATTAGATAGTAATGTGGGTCTAATGTAGTCAGATCTTTTGGTTTATTAATAGAAGTCCAAATTTTTAAGTGTAAACTCTATTCATTTAAAAACAAAAAACATTGTGCCAGACTAACACTATTTGTCTACAGAACAGATATATTTATCTGGACTAAGAAACCATCAGTGATTTTTGTTTATATATTACTACTTCCTGGCACTCTATACTTACCTTTGAGGCCTCAATTTCAGTATAGATATTGATAATCATATTTTATTTCTTTAAGAGTTTGACAGTTGTAAAAAACTCAAATTGTGATAAACAATACAAGGATCTTACATTATTTGGCAGGGTCACATCAGACATAACCTCAGATTCTGCATCAATGATGTGATATCCATTTGCTGAGCTGAAGAAAATCTTTAGTCTTTTTTCAGAACCAATAGCCAGGTCAACTGTAACTGGCTTATGACCAAGTGTTGGAAATACCTGTAGATATAAAAGCAAATATGGCCAAAAGGCCAAAAATGACACTCTAAGGCAAAAATTCCCCTGCCCTTTGCTTAACAGGTTTATAAAACTCAGGTGATTGTAAAAAAAAAAAATCACATAATGTATTTAGAGACCTATGTATTGTAATTTTTATTAGATCTGGTACTACAATAAGAACATAATTATATTTAGAACTTAAATATTGAGTTTCCCTTTGAAGGTCAAGTCTCTAATAATCGTAAGAGGCTTGTATGACCCTGCACTCTGTTTGCTGTCTTTAAATTCCTTGCCTTGAGCTTCAGCAAATGAAGGAGCTCATCTGGTCTCTTAAAATTGTTCGCTGGATCAGCTGCCTGTATTTTTGCCAGAATTCGTATACAGGCTTCATAGGACATGTAGTCTCCTTTGGAGTCTGCTGATTGATCAATGCATACTTGGTAGGGAATGAAAAAGGCCAGACATGTTAACCTACCATAAACTGGATGTACTCTAGGCTCCTATGGTTGCTAGTTCAAGGAAACAAAAAGCCAAATAGGATTCATCACCAAGTTCAGGTCACAGTGGAGGACTGAGCATCACAGGATTCATCATATTGTAGCCATGTGGTAGTATTCAAGCATTTGGAATGAGGACTTGAACTAAGAACTGTGTATCAGGCTAGACAGACTGTTGGTACTTATCATCTTTGCTTTCCAGCCCCATACCAGGCAGCTTTGACCAATCAGTAGACACCCAAGAACAAACCCACATCCAAATACTGACAGCCAAACCAAAGCCCAATTTAGGGAGATCAGATCAGGGATGTGTCTTTGGAAGGGCAGGCCCAGAATGTCTTTATAGTATTCTATATTACTTATAAAAGAATATATTTATTTTGCAAATAGACATTGAGGGGCAGTCATAAAAATTAGCTTATCTTTATTGTATACATGTGATTTGTGATAAGTTTTGTCCTACAAAATATACCATGTGAAGAGATCTTAACCTAATATACAAAAGTATTTCATAAATACCTGGATGAGGTCTATCATGATGTGTTCTTACCAGCACTCTGTAAAAAATTTGTAGATGTACCAACTTGTTCAAAATTATCTGGTACATTTGCTAAATATATAGATTTCCAGGCCCCACTTTAGACCTACTAATTGGCTTGGGGTTGAGATCTAAACTTTTAGCAAATGAGCCAGATGATTCTGATATACACCCTAGATTAAGACTTCATATAATGCTGCTAATTTATTGATCAGTCCTCAATACTATGGACTAAGTATAAAATAATCCTATTTAAGTAGAATTCTGGAGCATTATAAACAGACAATATAGAAAAAAGGAGTCCCCAGTTTATGAGACTAGATTAAAAACTCATCCGCAACCTAATTGTGTGGGATGCCAAATGGTTACCTTAAGAGGCTGATCCATAGAAGTTTAGTTAAACCATATAAAAATAGAAATAATGCTGGTAATCAAAATAAGCCTAAGCACTATTCATTGCGATAGTTCTAGATAGAAATGTATTTGGAGTTTCAGCCTGGAAGGCATATAGACCCACCTTTCTCTTCCCATCCCCCATCTATTGTAGCTCTGGTAATTAAAGTAAAGGCTTTCTCTCCCTTCATCCCTCTACCATTGGGTTCCACCCTCTAATATTGCCAAGCCTTTTCTTCTCCTCCATTTGCTCTCCACTGTCCACTAAAATTGGACAGGGACTTTCTCCGTTTCAAGTCATTGGGATGGCATACAAAGCCTGTGTTGGGGCTCTAGAAGAGAAGGTCTTTATGTGACTACAGGAATTGGGAGTGAGGAGATGGTGTGGAGGTCCTCTAATGGGAGGGATCAGGGATTTCCCTCCACTTTCCTTTCCTTTGGTGTCTGTGAATTGTCTAAAAATGGTTAAATGATAATGATTGACATGGTATATCCAAATTAAAATAACTAGAAGAATGGTATATATTTCTGCTACTATATTCTAAAATATTTTTTCTGTTTACAATTTTTCAAAATAAAAACATTATCAAAAGGAAAAGGAAACCACTCACTTTAATAGCAGTGCTTTCATCAAAGGACTTTGGTGCCCATGCATAAAGATGAATTGATGATTTCAAAGCAATTGCAATATATGTCGTTTCTTCATGTTGGACTACAGTGATAAAATACAAAGAAGTAACAATGCCACAGAGTTAAAGAGAACACTCAAGTATTTATATTTGCTATTGAAAAATTTAAAACCACAGTGTAAGACCACTGATCATATATTTTTAGAAAAGTTATCTGGTTACAATTTGTTGCTCTCCCTTCCCCTGCAAGGCAACAAAATCATTGTGTAATTTAATGGAGTGTAAGCATTAGCCTTCAAAAGCTCTCAAAATTGTACACTGAAAACTACAGAACAGTGTTCAAAGAAATTAAAGAAGCCCTGAATAAATGGGAAGACTTCTTTTGTTCATGCATGGGTAGACTTAACATTGTTAAGAGGGCAATACTCCCCAAAGTGATCTACATATTAAATGTAATCTTTCTTGAAATCCTAATGACCTTTTATGCAGAAATGCTAATTTTGGTTCTAAAATTCACATGGAATTGAAAGAGGCCCACATAGCCAAAACCATCTTGATAAAGAAAAAAAAAGTTTGGGAACGCACATTTCCCAATTTCAAAACACTACAAGCTACACTAATTAAAACAGCGTAGTACTGACTGACATAAGGATAGGCATGTAGATCAATGGAGAATTAATGGGAGTCTACAAATAAATCAATACATCTCTGGTCAATGATGTCAAGACCATTCAATTAAGAAAGAATAGACTTTTCAATAAATGTTACTGGGAGAATTTAATATCCACATACAAAAGAGTGGGGTAAAAGTATGTTTAAAGTTGTTCATATGGAAAATAATACAATTACTGATAAATAATAACACAAGAATGAACTCTGTGTACTCACAACTGTAAACCTACTTTTGCCCCACACTAGTTACACTAGTTATAGAATGCATGCTTAAAGGTGAGCAACACAGGAAATGACTTTAAAAAGAATATAAATAAATCATAATGAATGGCAATGTTCTCAAGTGAAATGCTAAAATTTTGAATACAGAAAACAAAATAGATTTTTCTGAATTGAAATATGTGAAATAAGCTATTAAACAGCAAAACAACAACAACAAAAAGAAAACACCCAAAAAACAAAACACCACCAGGATGAATGAACCTTGAAAATATAAGTGATGGAAGCCTCACAAAAAAAAACTCATAATGTGTGATGCATTTAAATAAGTTGTCCAGGATAGACAAATTTATAGCAAAATAAAGTAGATCAGTGGTTAATGTGAACCCTGAGAAAGAAGATACCTAGCAAGAAAGGCTCCTAGTGGCTAACTTGGCTCAAATTTAAAAGCAGAGCCTAGTAGCTGTTTCTAAATAAAGGTCCTGCGCACAAACTGCACTTCAGGGAGAAGCCTACAATGAACTGCCTAACTGGTGTGTTCCTGACAGCTGAGCCAGCCCTTATAAAGGAATTTATGAAATTGTATTTCAGCCAATAGGACTGAGGCTTTCTCCATCCAATTGGAGTTGCACAGCTATATCCCTATTAGCATTTTCACCAACCAATCAGAGTGGGTCCAATTGACCATCAGGACATTGCCTTTGGGCCCAAACTGATAGGATTTTGAGTGCTAATTAGCATGTGGATGGACAAATCTTGGACCAGCTGTGGGGACTTCTGTCTATATACGAGTAAGTCAGTCCTCCTCTCCTTTGGATAGCACACTTTCACTTTTCATTGAAGGCTAAAGACCACATTTCCCAGATGGAGCTGAAACACCTAAGACCAGACCAGAACAGGTGGAGCAGACCAGACTAGAGTAGATTTGTCTAAGCCAGTGGTCGGCAAACTGCGGCTCGAAAGCCACATGTGGCTCTTTGGCCCCTTGAGTGTGGCCACGAAGTTTCAATTGCACTGTACGTGTGCGCCGGCACGTGGTATTTTGTGGAAGAGCCACACTCAAGGGGCCGCAGTTTGCCGACCACTGGTCTATGCTGAGAGGGAACTAGCCCCAGGGCTGTCCCTCCTAGGGCTGCATTGCTCAGTGCCTCTCCCCAAGGCCTCCTCACAGCCATGCTGTTTCACAGACATTCTGCTTCATAATTGAGCTGTAACACTATTGAGCTGTTCCACAGCTGTGCTAGCCATAACTTATTACAATTGGCTGTGTGCACTGAATAAAGTTTCCTTTTTCACTGCACCCCAAAATGGGAATGCCTGTTGGCATTTAATTGGAACCACGGACCATCGGGCAACATTACCCAGGATTGTGAGAGGAGAATAATGTGAATGTAAGACTAATTGAATGTGGAGAGGTTGCTAATGGCTATGGGGTTTTATTGGCGGTGGACAATGAAAATTAGATTAAGGTGATGGTTATTATACAACTCTATAAACATTCTAAAATTGTATACTATTAAAGGGGTACACTTTATGGTATGTAAATTATTTCAATAGTTTCTACTTTGTGCTCTTACTTGGCAGTGACATTAATTCTGTCCTCTCTAGCCAGACTTCATCTGAGACCAATATATATAATATAAGGTGTCTCTCTCTCTCTCTCTCTCTCTCGTTCTTTTTTTTTTTTTGCACTGTTCCCAAGATAGTCAAAGAAGTATGATTACTACGCCCCCAACAAGCAAAGGAAATCCACTGTTCCATTTGTCAGTAGGGCAAATATTTTTGTTTTTTAAGAACAGGGATGGGTTGGAATGGGGTCAGCCAGAAAAACTAGACTTAGCTAGTCCTTCCGCTTACCAAGAGCCCAGATTTGCAAGTTGGTTGGTTACCTTTGTAATCTCTCTCTCTCTCTCTCTCTCTCTCTCTCTCTTTAAAAAAATATATATATTATTGATTTCAGAGAAGAAGGAAGAGGGAGAGAGAGAGAGATAGAAACATCAATGATGAGAGAGAACCATTGATCTGCTGCCTTCTGCATGCCCCACACTGGGGATTGAGCCCACAACTTGGGTATGTGTCCTGACCTGGAATCGAACCTCAACCTTCTGGCTCACAGATTGACACTCAATCATTGAGCCATGCCTGCTGGGAAACTCTCTCTTATTGAACTAAAATATTTATAAGTTGGTGGTAAGCAGTTCTGTTATATAAACTCCTGGGTTAACATTGGGGGATGTCATTCACCTCTGGCTACAAAATTTGCATAATATACTTTGAAGGAAAGTAGTGATACATAAAAGTAGAAAAGCCTGGTTAATGTGGCTCAGTGGTTGAGCATTGACCCATAAACCAGGAGGTCATGGTTTGATTCTGGTCAGGGCACATGCCTAGGTTGTGGGCTCAATCCCTAGTCAGGGGTATGCAGGAGGCAGCTAATCAATGATTCTCTGTTATCATTGATGTTTATATTCCTCTCTCCCTTTCCCTTCCTCTCTCTGAAATAAATTTAAAAAATTTAAAAAAGATAAAACTAGGAGAAAGTAATGTATTTATTTAATGCCCAATTCAGGTACTCATTTCTCTCTTCAATGGTGTATGTGTACACATGTACACACATATGTAAATCTATCATGGGAAAGCCTCATTATATGCAGAGCAGAAATGGTTAGTCAGGATAGAAATACCCTGATGCAACTCATACTAGGTGATCCCACCTATCTCTTACTTATGTCACTAGTTCTGCCTATAGGGGCAATTAGTGAAGAGGAAAGAAGGAAATGAAGGCTGAGAGTAGAGGAAATTTGCTTTAGAAACTGAACAAAATGGGATAACATTACTTCCCAGTTGTTGACAAATTGAGAGTAGGATTCTGAGACCCTCGAGTTATTACTCCATTTCACAGTGAATGATTTTGAAGAGGCAGGGATATGAAAACATTCTAATCCAGGGGTGGGCAAACTTTTTGACTCGAGGGCCACAATGGGTCCTTAAACTGGACCGGAGGGCCGGAACAAAAGCATGGATGGAGTGTTTGTGTGAACTAATATAAATTCAAAGTAAACATCATTACATAAAAGGGTACGGTCTTTTTTTTTTTTTTAGTTTTATTCATTTCAAACGGGCCGGATCCGGCCCGCGGGCCGTAGTTTGCCCACGGCTGTTCTAATCAGACAGGAAATATTAAAGAATCATATTCATCAATCTCAACAGTGGGGAGCAAGAGCCAGCAGACCATAGGAGACTTTTTCTTTTGACTTATTGTAGAATTTCCTCATCAGTGTTAAAAGGGATTTGCTAATTAAAAATAAAAGGAATTGCCCTGGCTGGTTTGGCTCAGTGGATAGAGCGTCGGCCTGCGGACTGGAGGGTTCCATGTTCGATTCCGGTCAGGGGCACGTACCTTGGTTGCGGGCACATCCCCAGTGGGGGGTGTGCAGGAGGCAGCTGATCAATGTTTCTCTCTC